ATGGACAAACATGGGGGAGGTATGTTTGATATGCTGGGCCTGTAAGTAAAAAGACGGCTGCTGATAGCTGAGAAGACGTGCACATACATACACTCCACCCTGTTTGTGCAACTCCTCCCAAATCTTCAACGTACATAGTTTTTCTCGCTGTTGTCAGGCACTGGATGAATGTGAAAGACAGTTATGACCATAGCAAGAGAACAGAAACCACAGATCAACTCAGGAGCTGAAGACGTCTCTTAAACAGTAAACTGCATGGCAGGAAAAAAAAAACGGAATTATGATGCTTCTGGGTATTTTATACAAAGTTGTGGTCACAATAGAGCATCTCAGAAGTGAGGCTGTATTCCTGTATTCCTGTAAGCTACCTCTCAGATAATCTCTTTACACAGTAAGGTACAGCAGCCACAGCTATACCTCAAGGATCAACTGCCAGAGCAAACAACCTGTCAACACAGCCCGTGTAAAAGAAATGTTCTGTGGAGATGAAGAGTTAACAGACAAATCGATCATCTTATTCAGGCTCCTGGATGCATTTTATATGGGTTTGTCTTCCTCATATAGGAACATTTCCTGTTACTATTTACATGTAACTGCTTTACACTATCTACATGTAACAGATTGCTGTCAGAGATGGCAAATTCCCACTTTGGGAATGTTTCACCTGAGAACTACACTAGCATGGTGCTTGTTCTAAACCTGCCTGTTTGGTTGTTTGCTTGGCCTGTTGTAATGGAGCTTGCAGCTTTCTCTCTAAAACCGCAAAAGCGAAGTTATATCGCGTGTTCAAAACGCACCAAATCCGACACTGCGCTTCCAAGCCGATTAGATGAATGGTTATATGAGACACAGACAGACAGACAGTGTTTTCTGAATTATTAGTTCCATCTATAAGTCAAGGAAACATCTTTGGCATTGAGGCTAGAAATATCCCACAGCCTATGGGTAAAGTCTGAACTGGATATCATCCGCTGACTTCTTGTCTTCGGCACAAACCCACCCACTGCCAGCCCACGCCTACCTTCATCCCAGACTGAGCTGGAGCTCACGAGGCCTCAGACACACTTAATGGGATTATGGTAATATAATTTTGTGACGCTGACCTCGGGCCGGTGCCAGGTTTCTTCCACATCCTCAGACAAAGGCAGGGAGCTCACCAAGGGTTCCAGCAGGCCGGCCCAGCTCGGCCTCTTGGCACAGGCCGACGTCCTCATGGGGCCAGCGCAAGATAGATGGCTGTGGGGCAAAGTCTCACTTCCTAAGTCTATTCCAGCAGCGAGCAAAATCACACGGTGGCAAGAGGGGAGTGTAAACTTTAAATGCATATCATTTCCCAAGAGTGAGCTGACTCCAGTGACTGCTGTTTGTTCGTGTAATTCTTCTGATTTAATCAGAACATTGATCAATATGGGTTCAGGATTTAGGAAATGTGTCCGCCCTTTGCTCCCAACTTTAATCAGAACATGCTAGTTCTTATGCTGAGGGTGTAGCCTCCATGGAAACGGCCTTGTGGTCAACTTGTCTCTCTGTGTGATTTAGCAGCGGTTTCCACTGGATGTGTCTTATTGGTTTAAGAAAGAAGAGAAAAAAAGAAGAATTTTATGGACTGGACAATTTAAAAGCAACTCAGTGTGGGGGTCAATTCAAACTGTCCGTGTAGGTTATTTAAACAGAGGAATGATAACCAGTTTACCACAACCCATAATAAACTCTTATGGTGCGCAATATTTTTCCCCTGTCTGCAATATCAAACTGTCCTGAAATACAGAAACATACAAAAGACACATACACACCCAGAAACACAGTCCAGTAATTAAAAGAGGATGCCATATGCTTGCAATATGTTAGAAGTGCTGTTGATTCTTCATCTTGTTCTGTCTTATTCTACTTTATTGTGAATGTATTTAATGTTGTCCAGTCTCCACGGGTGTATCACCAGATTTTTTTCTTCCCCTTTTCCTTTTCTTTTCCTCTTCCTTTTGCCTTCAGAAAGACCACCCATAGGGTTCGGAGGGGGCAGACGTCTCTGTGGAATAATAATGGGGTCGTCCTGGGAAAATTGCCCATGGAAAGGCCTGTCTGAAAAAAAAAAAGAGGGAGAAATTTGGTCTTGTTTCCGATCCTTCTCGGAAACATTCATCAGGGTGCTCCTGCTGTTTGGAGGGGAGCAGTCCCATCGCTGGGATACTCCACTACTGCCAAGACCCTCTGAGGCGAGGTCAGCAGGCTGGGGCACACGCTTTAGAAAGATGCTTTTTTATTGGGCTTGTCCTTTAATTTATTTTGCAGGGAAGATATAGGTATGTATTTTGAACTGCCTGTATATCGGCTGTTGTACAGTTGCTTTGATATTTCTAATTATCAGAAGTCGTAATCTGAGAGGATCCGCTTTGGGAGATGGCTGTAACTGTTATTATGTGTTAAATGTATCATCGTATTTGGGCTGCTACTGGGCAAGGCAGTCTTTGTCCACAGAGAGACCCAACAAATGAGTCACTATGGTCTCAAACAGGGAACGTCTCAATAGTGAGGTCATTTCCTGACATGATGCTGCATCACGTGACGTATAATTCTGATGAAACTCGCTGAAAGTGGCTATCGTTGTTCCCTGTTTGTTTTTTCTTTGAGGACAGAGCAGCATAATGATATCACCTATCAGAATTGACCAATTTTATTTTAATTTATGCATCCACAATCCTTGTTAATCATCAACTGAGAAGTAAATGAGGAAACATGCTGGGTTCTTCAAGAAACCTTGTTGGGATCAAAAATAGTGACTTTCAAATGTTTTAAATATTTTTTTATTCTTATTATCTTATTATAAAGAATTTTGTTATTATCATTATTTTTGAAAAAAGTGATCATAGTTTTTTGAGAGCTGGACATTTCATATTCCCTTTGCAAGCAAAAGTGCTGCTAATGACTGCAGAAATAAATAAATCCAGCTAAAATCTTCTGGTCATTCTCTGAAGCTGGAGGATGATGGACCTGTGTTTAAGGGAGTTGATTTTTGCCCAAAAAATGTCTGTATTATTATATTTTACTGTATCTTCATCAGCATGTTTTTATTGCCAAAGGTTTGAGTGGCATCAGAGTTTGAATTAAGTGTTTTCCCCTGATTCCCTTCACATTGTTTTCTCTGATAATCTGATGTTTCAATTAGTTGAGTAATTCCTATTCAGAATTCTCCTGAAAATGACGCAGCGTCTTAATATTTCAGTCATGTCAGTCAAGAACGTGACTGCCCCCCCAGGCTGTCACTAACCGGGCCTCCCTTTGCCCTCTCAGGCCCTGAGGCTCTGCCTGCTACCTCGCTGCCTCGCTCCGGGTCTGAACCGCTGGAGATCCGGTGATGGATGTGCCTCGGGGGGGGGGCTCTCTGTGGGAGGTGGGCTCAGAGCTTCACACACTCACTGTCAGGGGGAGAAATTTCAGACTTCATATTTAACCAGAGACGATGGAGACAAACCTGCAGGAGTATCAGTGTCTCGTCAACAACACAAAAAGCCTAAATATAACTTTGTAATGATAAGAGTTCTTTTATTTTTGTTCCTATTTTTGCTTTTTTAATCAGCTGCTAGTTCCTGAAAGCAGCAGTCTCAGTAGTGGCAGCAGTTTTTAAGCAAAGTACAGAAAGGAAGCAGAGATAAAGACAGACGATTATAAACAACCTTAGATTTTACAATCCATTAAAACAAATACAGTGACGAGACAGTTTTATTGTTTGAACTCTACCACATCAGTGATTGTGTCATAATTTAAATCAATAAAGTTGGATTGTGGATGCCCACTTCAAACCACAATTTTAACTGTCGATATCCTGCTAAAACATGTCCTCAGTGTGTGACTGTCAGTGAATTTCATGAAGTACATTGTGCTGCAATTGAATAATTCCCCTTTTTAGTTGTTCCCACATTCCTACAGCTTATACTTCTCTCTTAGTTACTGTTTTCCACATTCAACAAATACCAGAGCCTGTGATAGAACTACACATTTAAATTTGTATGTTGATAAAAGAAACGCACCACTTCCCCATACGCCAAAGACTTTATCCAACACATAAATCTACAAAAACACTGATGAATTAGTATTTTTAATTTAAATTTGTACCTAGGTTTATTAAATAAAGCCGGTGATTAATTTTTTTTAGAATGAAGTCATACAGACTGGCCATATAATGGGAATGGTTATTGATTTTACTCTTTGTCACATTTCAAAATGTGCTTGGAAGGTAGATATTGATTGATGACTCTGGTCAGAGTATGAAAATCATATATTTTTATGCTCTGTAGACGTGTTGAGCCACATGTTTCGTGCAGCCATGTATGATGTGTACTGGGTAGTTATGGAGTCAAGCTAAAAAAAAATAAAAAACAACTATCCAGTCATCACAGTGAGACGAGGTGCAGCGGTGGGTGGCAGAGAGAGGTTCAGTCCGGTTGACGTGAGGAAAGAAACGTCATCTCTGAATGTGCCTCAAATTTCAACACAAAGCTATAGTACCTGATTGTGTTTACACTGTCACTGATTTATTAAGGGCCACTCTATTCCTATATTACTTGGCCAGTAATGAATAAACAATATTCAACGTCGAGTTTGTTTCTTTAAGCCGTCATGTATACAGGGAAGGGGGGCGGGGTGTGGACATACGTCTTTTCAACAGGCCGTGGTAATAATGGACCTGTGACCTCATGGTCTGAGAAGCCAGGGACAAAAACTTCACTTCATCTGACTGCTGTGACAGAGAGACTCACATTAAAACAAACGTGTTTATTCCTGTTGTTTCTTTGAGCGTATGAGCTGGATAAAGACTATTCCAAAGTTATTCCACATCAATAAATAACATCTTGAATTAGCTGGTCTGCTGTGCCATCAGTGGAGGGTCACTTGTATGAATAAACCTCACTGATGTTATTGCACCACACAGCTGTGGACAACATAGGCTATCGACTGAAACAAGCTTATAATTAATGGCACAAGAAGATCACATATTTCTCAGTGTTTTGTTTTTATTGCAAACAATATAATACAAAAGATAAGCTTTTAAGACAATGGCATGTTTACCTATAGGGAAACTGCATTAAGAAAGATGACAAAAGAAGAACTAATGATACAGAATACAAAATGAGGAACACAACTTTTTTTTTTTTTTCAAAAACAAAAAGTATCCTGTTGATTCCAGCAAATTCTTTACAAAACGGCCACGGCTTCCATAAACATTAATTCATTTGTTAGAGAGAAAAGACAGAAGACTTCCAGTTTTTCTTTTTTAAGAGAAAGACTTATCGTGTAATTATAAGTAATCTGTACATAACTAGATCATGAATAAAGGAAACTTTAATACGGAAACATTTACAAATGATAAATAAACAAATTTGTACCACATATGTCAGCTGCTGTAAGCTGCTGCTGAATTAAAAAGATAATTGCAAATAGTTATTTTCAAATAAAATTTATGCTAAGGAATAAATTAAGAAAAAAAAAGGTTAGGAAAAGGCTGTGGGAATGACAGAAGCACGCCAGACTCAGACCTGCTGGCTGCTGAGGAGAGTCACGTAAATGGTCACTTCCTGTATTCCCCCTAAAACAGGAAGTCAGAACTATGCTGTGGTTTTGACACTACAATGCCAGTTGACGGAGCCGCTCTACTGTGGCTCCAGAGGCACCAATGGTATCAAGGCAGTACCCAGATAAAAGCAAGCATTGCTCAGTTACGTCTAGCAACACGGTAAGGCCCCTAGTAGAGTTACATGGCACCTGCTATAGCGTTTCCAACACAATCGTCTGAGCTAAAGCAAAGAACGAGAAGTAGAATATTTGACTAATTCACTGATGACACGGTCATATCATGGCCAAAAATTCAAATCTATTTCCAACGTGCATTGCTCAAACCTTGTATCTCATAGGAATTACAATAACATATGTACAGTACAAATATTCAAATCAGAATGAAGGCTATTATAAGATGGCAGTGTCAGTAAACAGACGTTTCTTACTTCCTGTACAAAAAATACATTAGTGAGAAGTAAGGCCACTGAGGGTGTTTTTACTCGGCACTCCTGCTCCTTTGAACGTGTGAAACCTTCAAATCGTGACGATGAGGATGCTAATGACACTGATTATGAGATGAGGATGACAAGAGTAGAACACATACACAGTACATACTAAAATATTTATAACCAGTATGTCCTCACAGAGGATTTAACTTTTTTAAACATTATATCTAAAAAAATATAATCACAATTCCAACCAATACAAAAGGCACTGTTGTGAGCCAATTCAAAGATATATTTTCAGTACTATAAAAAAGTCCTTGTCATGTTTTTCTGTTGGCAATGCAGGGTGTGTGAAGTGGTGGCGCGAAGGCCACCGTGCAGAGAGAAGTCTATGCATGGGGCGATTGTTGTACAGTCAGTGCTGAGGCTGCCTCTTCACGGCCTGGACAGCTGTGTGTAAATGGGCTGCTGCTCCCAGTGCTGCGGACTGTGGGTCTGGGGTACGGAGGGCACGCCGGTGGTGTCAGCGATTGGGGTGTACATCGGCCTCTGGCTGGGGCTCATGTAGCTGAAGGTGGAGTACAGGCCGGAGCCCTGGCCAGCTGCATGGCTGTAGTAGGAGTTGGCACCACCTTGCTGTTCAGAATAGTCATACTGTGCTCTTGTGATAGAGGGGTAAGAGGAGGCGCTGTAGTGCTGCAGGTTGAAGGACCCGTAGGTGACGTGCTGTGGGGAGCCTTGTTGCTCGCTGTAGTGTGTGGGGCTCAGCTGCTCCGTCTTGATCTGGGTGGTTCTTTGTTGACCCTGCTGGCCCTGCTCGCCGCCTCCACCCAAGGTGGTCAGAGAGTGCTGCTGCTGCTGCTTGGACATCCAAGCGTGGGCCCCGACATTGGCTGCCTGGCTGACTGAGGAGCTGCTGATGCCGTAACTGCCAGTGTAGCCGGCCTGGGCTGCGCCGGTCACCCCAGCGTGGCTGTGAGGCGGCAGGTACTGATCGAACTCATCGACGTCAAAGCTCCCCATGTTGGAGATGACTTCGCTGCTCAGCTCGCCAATGTCCACTGCTCCAAAGTCGATGTTGAGCTGGCGACTGGTACCCTCCTGCATGGGGCGCCCCTCACGCTTCAGGTCAGCCTTGCTGGAGGGGAGGTCTGTCTTGGGGGTGGTTGGGGGTGTTGGTGGGCCCTGGGATTGACCTGGTAGAAAGGAAAACAAAATTATGGTAAGTTTACAGTTATTTAAATTAAATTAACAAAAAGATCTGATCCAATTTATAAAGTATTTCCAGCATGAAGCGCTTAGCTCAATGGTGCCATGAAATGTAAATGCTTGTAGAAGGAGGAGTTTATTGGCACTATTCTGACAGGTGTATTTACATGATGCTTGTAAAACCTACATCATCAATCATTAGACATTGACAGGTAGAGTTTAAGGCCCTAAAGTCATCTAAGAACGAATACATTGGAGAATATAGGCTTGAATAATAATAATAAGAAGAAGAAGAACAATACAAATGATTTGTTTTATTTATTTATATTGCGCTCCCTATGTTACCTGAATGTTCTCCTGGAGAGTGCGCCTCGCCCATGCTCGACGCCGGAGAATCGGCCTGCTGCAGCGCCTTGAAGATCGCATTGGGAGATATGTGCGTTTGCTCGCCGTCCTCGGGTTCGTTTTGTCCGTTCTTCACGGACTTTCTCCGCCTTGGCTGATATTTGTAGTCGGGATGATCCTTTTTGTGCTGCACTCTCAGACGCTCTGCTTCCTCCACAAACGGGCGCTTCTCTACTTCGTTGAGCAATCTGAAAAGAAAAAAAAAGTACGTTCATATTAAAATGAAACGAAAACTAACATGAGAAACGATTGATTCATTGATTGAAAAGATATAAAATTTGAGTTTCACTATCAATAATCAGCAGGAGGCAGCGACAAAGTTTGTGTATCAGTCAAAACAACTTCTGTGCGCACTCGACCATGGAATTAAAAAGCCAAGGTTTTGACCACAAACCATATACCAACCAAAAAAATATCTATCATTGAAAGAGAAAATACATTAAGAAAATCATTACTAAAATCTGCACAAACTTGAAACAGCAGGCAGGTGGTGCGTTTCGTCAGAAAATGCTGCGCAAAGCAACGCGTAAAGGCGCAAAGCAAAGTTGACTGAATGCAAAGCGAACCTACCTCCAAAGTTTGCCAAGGGTTTTGCTGAGTTCCGCGTTGTGCAGATGCGGGTACTGATCGGCCAGCTTCCTCCGTGCAGCTTGTGCCCACACCATGAATGCGTTCATGGGTCTTTTGACGTGAGGTTTGTTTTTACTTGAGCCGTTGACGCGCACTGGCATCGGCACCAGCGTCCAGTCGTAGCCCTTCAGCACCTGGGACACCGCATCTCTGATGCACACGGGGAACTTCTCTTCCTCGCCCTCCTTCTTGTAGTCTGGGCCCCCGAGGAGGTGGTTGTCGGACGGACGGGTGTTCTCGGTGTCCGAGCCGGAGCCGGACGGGCAAGGAGAGCCCGCGGAGTCCTCAGACATGCTGGGGCTGGGAGCGTCGGAGTGACACTTCTCCTGTTCTTCTGTCATCTTCAGGTAAGGGTCGAGGAGATTCATGCGAAAAAATTAAAGAACAGCGTATCACAGATAAAAAGGAGAAAAATCCTTCTTTCTAAATCCAAGTGCTGTGCCCAGAGACTGCAGTGACAGTCTGTGAGGGCGCACAGCTTGACTGGCAAACTTGAATCCTTGAGTGCAAAAAAGAAAAAAAGCCAAAAAGAAAAAAGTTTTGGACGCTCCTTTGACTTTTACGCAGACGAGAAGGCGAGTTGCGAGTGATCGCGCTCTGATGCTTGACTCTGAAAGTGTGACTTTAAAGAGAACAGTGACTGAGAGACGCTCTCTTAGAGGATGGCTGAGAAGTCTAGGGACACAGGAGGCGATGCCTGGATTTATGTTTCACGGCGAGGAAGTGATTGGGGGAAACTTTTTGGAGGCGGGGACGTAATATGACTCTGCTCCAAACTCTCTCTGCAGTCAACAACGGTGAAAAGCTCGTCCAACAAGAACAAGTGTGTGTCTGCCTCTAGAAACTTTGCTTTCACTGGGAATTAAAATTTAAAACTTGAGAATTAAAGTTGAAAACCAAAGTTAAAAAACATACAAAGAAAACCAGAATAATGCTGTAATTATCTTATATCTTACTAAAATATATATAATAACTTG